TTTCTGATGCCCAGGCTTGCTTGTGGATCTGCAGAGACACATGAAGCAGTGGCACCATTCATCTCCAAAGTACCTGTGAGATGTCAGTAGCTTAACTACTGCTCTCCAGGGACAATATGTGGTTGAGAAAGATGGAGTTTCTTTCCCTGAGTTTGTTTAATGCTCTCAAGATATGTCTGTCAGGACTGAGTGGGATTTGACAAGAATTATGACTGTCAATGGCATTGTCACCTCAACAATATTGAGAGGATGCAACACCTTCAGAGCACTCAGAGAAGGGCTGGGAAGAGAGATCCTCTGGTGGCAGGATTCCATCAGATCGCACGGCACCAGAAGACACTGGGGCTTGTGATTCACCCTCTCTAGAGATGGCTGCTCTCTGATCCCTGGGGGTCCCTTCTGGTGTTGGAATGGAAATTTTTATCTCACTTATTAAGAAAGGTATCTTCCTGCCAGACAGGTACAGAAAATAGTACTCCAAAGCTTATGGAGCATTCCTTCCTACATTCGCCCATCTGTAGGAAAAATGTCAGCTTCAGGACAAACCTTCACTGTCTTCCGGTAACAGCTTTTCATACAGCTCCTGCTGTAAGTAAGACAGATCCTTGCTGGCTGGTCATGAAGTTTGGAAACTGCTTGTGTGTAGATCTGACATTACCTAACTTCACTGTAGTTGGATTTATATGAGATTTTCAATACAGATAAAGTAATTGCTTGTCTGTCCCTGAAAGTGAAAATGAGAACTGTAGGCTGTAGTGGGAGTGATAACAGGCTGCTCTTTGTGGATAAATCTTTAAGGGGAATTTAGCAGCCAGGCTGACAAATGTGATTTTGTATAAGTGCTCTAATTATGGTTCACACTCCAAAGGGAGAGAAGCAATTGGAAAACTGGAATGAAATTGTTCGCTTGTCCCTTTTGTTCTTGAAGGCAATTGCTTTTGAACCAGTCATATTTACTACAGATTTTTCATACTCAGCTTTTAATTACAAAGCCTGTGCTTTCAGTCCATTCACCCCATTAAGAAAGGTAACTGTGTGGCCAGCCTTGCCACTTTACAGACAGATTTCCAATATACTAAACGTAAATTTTGCCATTGTAAGGGCAGTGGGACTCAGCCATAGATGAAAAATGATCCTAGAAACACTATTTCTTTGATGCTGAGCAACATTACTTATTCTGAAAATGGCTTAGATATATATCTTGAGCCTGCTGTCTACAAAGTCAATGTCAAAACTCCTCCCTTCTACAGGATCCAAACCAAGGTCTAATTTAATGCTGCCATGTCTAATTGTCACACTGGGTGGCAATGACATAAACAGCTGCTTTGACAATGCTACAGATGTGGGCAGGAGTGATCACTCCCATTAAAAATGAAATGTATCTCAAGGAATATCACTAACTCACAATTCAACAAGCCACTTAATCTCAGTCTGATTTTAAAGCAGATGGGAAAGCCCTATCAATCTGTCTATCTGTAAAAGCACCTTCATAATATTTCCTCTAAGCTGTAAACTCTCAAGTATGAACATTAAAGCTAACTGAATTAGATAAAGTCCTTATGCTAAAATCTTTATAAAGTTTTTTCTTTTCAATCTTTATCTTATCTTGGGTGAAGATGTTACCTGACAGTTTAAAACTTTTTTTTCCAAGATTTTCAAGCTAATGTCTAAATAGACCTTTCATCTGGATATTCTAAGATGAATTAAAAACAACTAGGTGATTTTTTTTGGACA